GCCGAGGGGCGCGGCGCCGCGGTCGCCGCTGCGCGCACCTCGAGCAACACGGCGTCCTCCTCTGGCGAGAAGCCCTCCTGTTTCAAATCAGGCGCCAGCTGGTTCACCCACCTGCACGGGCCGCGGCAGCGGCGTCAGCAGAGCATGGTCGATGGAAAGCCGAGGCGGCGGCGGCGCGGAGCTAGGCGCTGCGCTGCGCTGCGGGCGGGCGGGCGGGTGCGCTGCGCCTGGCGCGCGGCGCACCTGAGGCGGCAGCTCTTGCCGTTGCGGCCCTCCAGGGCCTCTGCGATGTGGCTCCAGTTCTGGGCCCCGTGCTCACCAACCTGCTGCCTCAGCACCTCGTCCTCCTGCGGCGCCGCAGCGGGGCCGGCTGCAAGCGTCATCTTGGGGGCTTGCGTGCGCACGCCCAACGCCGCCATCCCGCTGTGGGGCGGTGAAGCCCACTCCAAGGCAGGCAGGGGGCGCGCGTCCCGTCATGCTGCGGCCGCGTGTGGTGCAGTGGAGTCGGACGGCCGCGTGCCCCCACGCGATCACGAGGCAGCTGCGAGGCAGCTGCACAGCGGCCGCACCTCGGAAGTCCAGGGCCTGTAGTTGGTGGAGCGGTGGTCGGGCCCCTCCTGCCCCTCTTCCTGCTGCTGCTCGCCCTGGCGCTGCCGCTGCCGCTGCCGCCGCCGCGCCGCGCCGCCGCCGCTGCTCGTTGCAGAAGCAGCGTGCGCCGCTGGCGCCGTGGCGGCTGCTTCGAGTTGGGCGGGCGCGTCTACGCTGCTGGCGGGCGTGGCCGCGGCGCGGTGGCGCTGTGACGACATAGCTGACAGGATGGCAAGCTCGCATGCCCCCGACAAAGCCAAGTCCTTGCTGCTCAGCTGTAGAGTCCCTGGCTTTCTTGCACCTCCTGCAGACGCTGACGTGGACGATAGTGTCGCCGCTAGTCCTCGCTGCGCCGCGCAGGCGTTCCGTGCGTGTTTCTGGGAGATTTCAGGGGCGCTTGTGCACACACATACTGCCGTCAGCTGCATCCACTGCTCGCAAGGCCGGTGTCGCGCGCAAAAATCAACCAGATCTAGTCGGAGGCCAACATGGTGATCATCTTGTAAAACTGTTTGTTTTCATACAATGAGCGGGACCGGCTAACACGAGAAACTCATGTGATGCCTTTTTAGTTGAATGGGGTAGGCTACAGGATGCCACAAGCGCATAGCGTGACTAGGAACGCGCGCAAATGTTTGAGCGACATGTGACAGCGCAAATTGTCCGAAGAGGTGCCGTTCACGATTTCAGGGGTTGAAATCTGACCCCCTGCACTTGTGGCCAGGAGTACATGCGAGTGTGCACGCAGAAGCATTCAAAGAAATTGAATAGTTCGCGCCTGGTGTGGCGTTGTGCCAATGGCAAGGTGCTTGTGTGCTAGTCTTGCCCACAACCACCAGCGGCGACTCAGCTCGAGCCGGGCGACTGCATCCTGTTGCATCCTTGCCCGCTTTGATGCTAGGGGAGGTTTGCCAGACTGGTAGATCCTGCTAGCCAGCACCACATTGCAGGGGCGAACGGCACGCAGGCCCCAGGAGGTCACGATGTGCAACGCCCCCATCTCCCACGCAGCCGTCTTGCTGCTGGCCCCAAGTATGTCAGGCCATATTCAGTCTGGTGGCGGACAGAGGGGTAGGCAAAGCACAGGGGAAGGCAGGTAACAGTGGATTACGGGCGGCGCCAGGTCGGCTCCAGGGGCCGCCAAGCATTGCTGTCTGAGCCCGCAGCCATGCACGACCGCCCTCAGACAGGCAGCAGCGCGCTGGGCAGCGGTGCCGACGCCGTGTTGGCGAACGCTGCCGCCGAACCCGCCGCCCCGCCCCGCAGCAGCAACGGCTGGTGCGAGCCCTCGTCCTCCGCGGCCTGCCGCCCTGGCGCGCCCAGCCCTCCGCTGCCGCTGCCGCCGCCGCCGCCGATGCTGCTGCCAGGCTCCCGTGCGGATGCGTACACCACCCACGACACGAAAAACCCCAGGACCAGGCCGGTCATGATGTCCGTCGGGTGGTGCCAATAGTCCGTCGCCCTGTCCACGCGGGCGGCGCGTCAGGAGTCAAAGACCAGAGGCGCCAAGGCGGTGACGCGAGGCCATGCGGCGCGGCGCGGTCGACCCGAGCGGTGCTGTGCGATGCAGGCGTCCGTGCATCGACTGCGTCGCCCTCCAATTTGCCCATTAAACCATAGAAGCACGCCTCTCAAATACACAGACGCCCGTGTGTGGCGCATTCAAGCACTCTGAGCCCGCTCCCTTCCCTCGTCAGCTTCGCTAAGAGGCGCGGCCACCCGTCCAATCCCATCGAGATGCCCGCCCACCTCGTTACCCCCACCGCGCACGCGCCCATCGCCGGCAGCCACCCCAGCACCAGCCGCCAGACGTGGCCGCCGCCGTCGAGCGGGCTCAGCAGGTCGAGCAGCGCCCATGACAGGAACCCCAGGCCCGCGGCAGACCAAGAAGAGTGCCCTGGGTTCATACAGATGGGGTTAAAGCATATCAAGGGCGTTGTTGACACCCCAGTTCGGACTTGGCAGTCGAAATGGACAACGGCGGCGGCCGACGCACCTAGCCGTCACCGCCAGGGAGCGTGGCGAGCTGCCCCTGATCGCGCGCCGCACGCGCCCCACGCTCGAGGCCGCGGCCCGCGCCACGCCGAGCCCGCGCGGTAAGCAGGTCGCGAGTGTGCGTGGCACGCGCCTGATGGGAAGGACTTCAGGCCCTCAGCCACCACCGCCGGCTGGCCGCTGCACTGGGGGCGGCCCCCAAAGTCGTCCTCAGAGGCCCACACGGGCTTCATGTCCGGCCAGCAGCGCGGCACAAAGTCGGGCCGCGGCCGGCGCACCGAGATCTGGGCGGTGCGCGGCGAGGTGAGCCGCGTAATGCAGCAAGCAGCAGGAAGAGGGGCGCGTTGCCGGAAGGAGGTGAGGCGGGGTGATGCCAGTGTATGATTGTTAAAAATTTGGATGGCGCAGGCTCCGAGCCGCGGGCAAAAACGGAGACGGCGAGGAGCGATGCGTGGCGCGGCGTCGCTGATCGGCGCCGCCGCTGGGGGCGGCGAGTTTTCCGTGCAGCGCCTGGTGTCGCGCGCCGGCACGGCGCGCGAGCCTCGCCCCAATGTGCTCGCCCCACCTTGAGCAAATTTGTGATGCTGCCCGCAACCATCACGCTGGCCAGCAGGCCCAGGAGCAGCTTGTGCAGCTCTGCGCGCAAGGCGGCGCGCAACGCACGAGAGCAGGCAGGGCGATGGGGCCCCGCGTGGCAACCTCGGACGAGGCCGGGCAGCGGGGGCCTCGAGGCGCGCTGGCTGCACACAGGGAGGGCACGGGTCTGATCGGTCCCGTCTAGACAAAGGGGCTGCGGCTGCTGCGGGCTGGCCAGCTGCGGCCTGAATTCAGTCCTGCCCCCTAGCCGCGCGGCACGCACCGCTTGTCGGGCGCCGGAACACCAGCGAGTGCAGCGCAAGCAGCGCCGCGGGCAGCACAATCCCGAGCACCGGCACGGACCAGGCCGGGACCGTGTTGGGCAGCAGCGGGTGGGCGAGGTCTGGGAGGGAGGCCTTCAGTATGTACGGCGGCCCCTTGGGCACGGGGGCGCGGTCTGTGGCGACGACGATGACGACGCCGGCAACCACCACGCACCAGTCGAGCGCGCGCTCGCGCTGCAGCACGGCGTGCACAGCCAGCGCGACGGCGCGCGGGGCGGCGCCGGCGGGGCCGCCGCGGGGCGCGGGCGGCGGGGCGCCGGGCATGGCGGGCTGGGATAGGGAGAATGCAGACAGGTCGCCGTTTGAGGAGCCTTCGACGGTCACGAACGAGCGCGGGCCTGCAGGTTTACACGCGGGAAGTGGGGGATGCGCATTCTCAATGCGTGGGCTGTGACGCAGCGGCCGCGAGGCGATGGCCCAAATCAGGAGGAGCGCTCAGGTTGAGCACTGCCGACAGGTGCGATCCACCGCACATGGGCGCAGCAGTGCAGCTCCAAACGCACACACGTTTGTTGAGTGTTGCTGTTGAGGGGCGGGCGGGCGTGAGCGGCCTAAGATCCATATGACCATTAGCGTACGGCCATAGCGGGTAGGCAAAGTGACCAAAGAGCACCAGATAAATATATGCTGTCTATTATCGTACAGAGAGAACCGAAAATAATACCATTGATAAGTGTACACGAGTGACAGTATGACACTTGACCCAGATCACGTCAACAGATCATGCAGCCCCTCGACGGGCTCGTCATGAGCCCTGAAAGTCGTCGCATTTAAATGAAACATACACCTTTCAGATATCTAATTGCGGTTGCGTCCTGTGTGGCCACTCATCGCAATGCACAGCAGCTGGACTGTCCTGAAAGCACCGCCGGCCGGCGGCGCAGCAGTGGCGCGGCCACCTTTCAGCGGTACGCTGCTGGCGTCCCTGCGCTGGCGTCTGTACGCGGCCGACAGAGCGGATCGCGCCGCTGGTGAGCGCGGCGGCCGCACAGGCGGCCGAGCTGCTGGCGGGCGCTTGGGCGGGCGCGGTCGCGCGGGCGGCAGCGGAGGTCGAACCTCAGGCGCGCAGCGGCTCTCCAGCGGTGGCGCTGCGCGGTCAAACACAGGCCGTGGCAGGGGGGCAGCCCAGGAGCCCCCCGCCGCCGCGGACGCTGCGTCGCCCGCCCCACCAGACGCGCCGCGGCCGCCGCCGTCGGCGGTGCCCGCCGCGGCGGCATGGGGCGCGGCCGGGGTGCAGGACCCCGTCGATCCGCCAGATGTGCTCCTGGTCCCCGCGGGCGCGTCGCAGCACCTGCAGGCGCCGTCCTTCGACGGCCCGCCGCCCCGGTTGTCGCCCGAGGACGTGAGTGCATGCTGGCGGGGCCGGGGCGCCGCCGCCCGTCGGTAGCCGCGCGATTATCTCGTTCAAAGCGGATGCCGGGACGGCGCATCGCGAGGAACATGCTGCATACAGTCACGTTCTTACAGGCCACATCCGGCTGGCAGGCCATACATCACAACGTGACTCGACCGCAGCCCGTGCACGCTGACCTGGCATCATCACCGCCAACCCGCCCCTCGCCCGCCCGCAGCTCTACTCTCGCCGCACCGGCGCGCTGCCCGGCGCCTCCCCCTCGCGCCTCCGCCCCGAACGCGTGCTCGACCTCTCCCCCTCAGACGGCCGCCCCAGCGAGCGGCGGCTGGCCGCCATGCTGGCCGCGTGCGAGGGCTGGCAGCAGCTGGAGCGAGTCGTTGCCAAGAACGCGGGCAGCATGACCGCCGTGCACGTCACTGCGGCGTTCAGCCTCCTGGAAAGGGCCCTGCAGGAGGAGGCAGCCGAGGCTGCAGCCGCCAGCCGCCGCGGCGGTGGCGGCGGCGGCGGGACCGACGGCGGCAGCGGCGGGGGCGGCGGCCGGGCGGCGGCCCTGGAGGCCGGCGGCGGCGGGGGAGGGGACGGCGCTGCTGGGCTCGGCGGAGCGGCGGAGGATGGGGGCGGCGCCAGCGCCGGCGCCGGCACCGCGGGCGGCGCGGGCGGCAGCACCCTGGAGATACTTGAGGGCCCGCTGTCCTTCGGCAGCTCAAACCGCCGCCGCCGGCTGTCGACGCTGACCGTGCGCCTCTCGCGCCTCGCGCTGCGCAGCGCGGCGAGCGTCGACGGCCAGGCGGTGGCGGTTGCGCTGTGGTGCCTGGGGCGGCTGGGGTTCAGGGACGCCGTGCTCGTGTCCGAGCTGCTGCTGCTGGCGGCGGTGCGCGCGGAGCAGCTCAACGGGCAGGGGCTCGCGATGGTGCTCGCGGCGGCGGTGGCGCTGCGCGTCAGGTGGGCGGGACGCGGGCTCGGGCTCGGGCTCGGGCGTTTTGTCGGGCGGCCTGAGGGCGCCGAGGCCTCGGTGCAGCACAGGGGCTCTTCCGCCACTCTGCTGGCTGGGAAGGTTTATGCATCAAAGTGGGGCAAGAGGGGAGCGGACGTGCGGCAAGTCCCCCCTCCTTGGCGCCACGCCGCAGGCCCGCAACAGGCGTCATGGGGCGCCTGGCGGAGCGCCTGGAGCAGGCCGCCCCCCTGCTGGGGCCGCAGGCCCTGGCCAACTGCTGCATGGCGCTGGCAAAGCTGCAGGCGCTGCCGGTCCTGCAGCAAGAGCAGCAGCAGCAGCAGCAGCAGCAGCAGCAACTGCAACTGCCGCCGGGGCTCCTGCCGGCGCTCGAGGCCAGGACGCGCGCGTTGCTGGGCAAGCTAGGCCCGGGCCACACAGCCATGGTCCTGTGGGGGCTGGCGCGGCTCAAGGCGCGGCCGTCGGCCGCGACCCTCGAGGTGAGCCCTGCCGCAACTGATTGCTGGTGACGCGTTTGCTGCCTGGGTGCCGTGCATGCCCGGGGCAGCCCCGTCGCAGGGGCGGCGCTGCATCGTGTGCGCCGGCGGATCGAGTTGCCTGCTCGACTCCTCTCATTTGCGTCCCCCAGCAGCCATGCGCGGTAAGGTAAAGTCTGACGGCCCCGGCCGGGCAACACCACCCCGCTTCTGCTTTCGCCTGGCCGCGTCAGGAGCTGTGGCGGCGGTCGGCGCCGGAGCTGCCGGCCTACTCGCCGCAGGACCTGGCAAACGCGGCGTGGGCCCTGGCCGAAATGACGGCCCTGCCGCCAGACAGCTGGGCGGGCGCGTTCTGCGGGTGCGCGCGCGCGTGCGTGGGCGCCGGCGGGTTGGAGCCGCGCGGCGCGGTGCAGGTGCTGTACGCGCTCGCGCGTTGGGACCACCTGCGCGCGCGCCGGCGCGAGGCCGCTGCGCGCGCCGCCGCCGCCCGGCTCGGCCCCGGCGCTGAGGGCGGCGCGGGGTCGGGC